CAGTGATGTGCAGTGTTAAATGTCAAATCAGTGATGAGAGTGTTAAATATCAAATCAGTGATGAGAGTGTTAAATATCAAATCAGTGATGGCAGGGTTAAATGTCAAATTTGTGATGGGAGTGTTAAATGTCAAATCAGTGATGGGAGTGTTAAATGTCAAATTTGTGATGGCAGGGTTAAATGTCAAATCAGTGATGGGAGTGTTAAATATCAAATCAGTGATGGCAGGGTTAAATGTCAAATCAGTGATGGGAGTGTTAAATATCAAATCAGTGATGGCAGGGTTAAATGTCAAATCAGTGATGGCAGGGTTAAATATCAAATCAATGATGGGAGTGTTAAATATCAAATCAATGATGGGAGTGTTAAATGTCAAATCAGTGATGGGAGTGTTAAATGTCAAATTTGTGATGGCAGGGTTAAATGTCAAATCCGTGATGAGAGTGTTAAATGTCAAATCAGTGATGTGCAGTGTTAAATGTCAAATTTGTGATGGGAGTGTTAAATGTCAAATCAGTGATGAGAGTGTTAAATATCAAATCAGTGATGGCAGTGTTAAATATCAAATCAGTGATGGGAGTGTTAAATGTCAAATCAGTGATGGGAGTGTTAAATATCAAATCAGTGATGGCAGTGTTAAATATCAAATCAGTGATGGGAGTGTTAAATGTCAAATCAGTGATGGGAGTGTTAAATATCAAATCAGTGATGGCAGGGTTAAATGTCAAATCAGTGATGAGAGTGTTAAATGTCAAATTTGTGATGGGAGTGTTAAATATCAAATCAGTGATGGCAGGGTTAAATGTCAAATTTGTGATGGGAGTGTTAAATATCAATTCAATGATGGCAGGGTTAAATGTCAAATTTGTGATGGCAGGGTTAAATGTCAAATTTGTGATGTGCAGTGTTAAATGTCAAATCAGTGATGGGCAGTGTTAAATGTCAAATCAGTGATGGCAGGGTTAAATGTCAAATCCGTGATGAGAGTGTTAAATGTCAAATTGAGATGAAGGGTTAAATGTCAAATTTGTGATGAGAGTGTTAAATGTCAAATTTGTGATGTGCAGTGTTAAATGTCAAATCAGTGATGGCAGGGTTAAATGTCAAATCAGTGATGAGAGT